GGCGAACCGCGCGCCCGCCTGGTAGTACTTGGCACACCTGGCGCCCAATCCGTCGTGCCCTTGCGTCGTGGTCTCGCCCTTCGTGCCTGCCAGGGTCGCAACTCCGGTGTCGACCTTGATGCCAGGCACCACATCGGCCTCCTTGAGGACATCGACGAAAGGCTTCCCGTCTGCCGTCTTCTGGTAGAGCGTCTCCTCGAACAGAATGACGCCGCTGATGTACTGCATCGCCCCGGGAGCGGTGAAGAGAAGCTCCCTCAGAGCCATCCTGTTGGATACAACATTCTCCACGTTGATGCTGGCCAGTCTCTTCCCGATGGTGCCCGTGCTCTCGTCAGCGGCGAGGATACCCCTCCCAGGGGTCGCAATTTTCTTCGCCGTGGCGATGAGCTCGTCCGCGTACTTGCCAACGTGCGCCATTTTCCTTCCTTCCGTCCTTCCTTCCTTCCTTGCTCCCGAATCTGATATGGACTCAGCGATGGCAATCACTTCAGGCACTCGGTTGGAGGAATGGCGGATCATACGGCAGCTTTTCTGTACCTCTCGGCTGAGTGGTCTCTGTACTTGTAGACTGATTCCTTCTGATCCGTCAGGGACGTCTTCCCTCATGTCGCCCACAGGCCCTCTCCATGACGAAACTACCTCGCTCGTGCCCCTCGTGCGGAGGTCTCGTTCAGGTGTCTGGTATTTTTCAACGTCGTCAGACACTCGCCGTGAGATCTCAAGATCGAAAGACCCACTGATACTCCAAATCAAATGTCCGCGAAATCAAATGTCCGGTCCTTTTCTTTTCTTTTGGAAAACTCCACTCGCCTTTGGTTAAGGGGGGGGGAGCAATATGCATGCCCTCTAATGGCTAGAGGGAGACAACAACGCTATGCTTTAGGTAGGTGGTGAAGGTGAATTGAAAGAATGTGAAAGATGATGAAAGATTTGACAGAAGAAAACTCCACCTCAACTTGACTTTGCCAGTTTTCCTACCTACATCCTTGGGGACATCCAGTTCTTTTTTCACTTTTCCTTTTTCTTCTTTTTTTATACCCGCATCCTTTTTTTTTTTTTTTTTTAATCTATTCGTGGGGAGCAGCACGTGCTCAGAACCTTGCCCAGCGTCCCATATGGAAACTTGCATCGAACTTTGATTTTATTTTTATTTTTTTTTATTTTTTTTAATAGAAAAACCAAGCACTTTACCGGGGCCTTTGCCCGGCTTTGGCTAAGAAAAAAACAATTTGAGCTACTTAGGAGAATACGACAAAGTTCAGAATTGGACAAGATTCAGAAACCGACTCAGGAGCCCCCCATCAATCCTCTTTACCTCTCTCCGGCAAGACTTACTGCAACAGAGCCACCATCTCCGTTGCTGCTATACCCTATTTCCATCCTACCAGCTAGCCCCCGTACTAGTAGGATGCTTGATATCTCGCCATCTCCCACTCACCTAAAAGGCTCAAACCCCCAATCCATCACCTGTACCCCGCTCCGGCAGTCAGCCACCATCTCCGCTCCTGCTGACAGTGTACCCTATTCCTGTCCTGCCAGCTAGCCCTCCTGCTAGTAGGACGCGTAATATCCCACCTTCTCCTTCTCCCACTTACCTCAATCTCTTTAGAAAACGTCTGAGCAATACGGGAAACATAGAAATAGACCTCCTAGGTCCTACAAATGCTCACAAACCCTTGAAATCCCTAACAAACCCTTCCAAAGCACTCCAACACTGTCCGACTCCCTGTCGAGCTCTTCTAAGTCTCACACCCCCACATCTTGCTGGGTTACAGGGCAACACAACTCACCCCAGCTCCGACCAGCGTCGTCCAATCAGCAACCCTTAGTTGTCCCGTGGAATGCCCACCCCAAAGCATCCCCAGATGTCTCTACCAGACCTCACGCTGCTGCGTCAGCAGGTCTTAGGGCACCTCCCCACCACCGGCCAGCGTTGTGACGAACCAATTTCTGTTCCGCGCGATTCTCTGCCTGATGACAATGAGGGGTTCTAAGATGGAAAGGTTGGGTGAATTACACGAAATCGGGATCGAAGGAAAATTGCATCAGTGTCCTCGCTTTTTCGTCTTTTCTCTTTTGGCGCAGCCGGTGCTTCTTTTCGGACGACTGGGCTCAGGGCCGAGCAAGTCCCGAGAGGGCCGATTGAGTGGCTGTCGCGCCGACAAAGCCGCGAATAATAATGTTTGACATCGCTTCTTTCTTGTTCTGTTGTCGGGTTTTAGGCGCGGAGGTCGCGGGGGAATTTTGCTTCGTTCTCTTTGAATTTCTTTTCGAATCTTGTCGAGCACTTGACGGCTCTCGAAACTTCGGATTTTCCTTTCGGAATTTGTGTTTCTTTTTACATCAGCTAGGAATTTAGGAATTTAGGAATTTAGGAATTCGGGATTGCTTTTGTCGTGCGCTGTCCTACTTGCGCGCTTCTTTTAACGGCTACAACGGAGCTCTGATTAGTCAACGCCCTTAATCTTGCAAGGAACTGTAATTTTTGGGCGGGCGCCATTGTAACTGTATCTTTCTGCTTGAGCTTCGTCTTTCCCGCCCTCTCTTTCCTTTTTGTTGTGTCTGGTTGGCCCCGCGACCTGCATGCACGGATCAATGCGTGGAGAGTGGCGACATCCCCCACGTTGTGGTCTTGCCATACAGAACGTAGGCGCTCCCTCTCCTAATCCCCTTTCTAAATCCTTGCAATTTTTTTTTGCAATTTCGTGTTCTTCGCGCATGCATGCACGCTATAAATTTTGGCTGCGCGATTAGATAGCTCTCTCAACCAGTTGTTGGAAGCTCGGGGTAGCGTGATCAGTGAGGGTCAGCTCACGAGCAAAGTAAGAGGTGAGTTGAAGTGGAGTCAGGCGGCCCGACGAGCTGGTGCCGAATGCGAGGGGTTGACGCGTGGGGCTACTACGGACTGTAGCGCCCGGGCGAACCTGACGCGTGCAGGAGGACTAAGCGGGGTGACGACTTCGTGGGTTGGTGCGGAACGACGGGCTGTCAACATGTTATTTGTTAAAATAGGACATTGTATTTTAAATTGGTACTCGCAAGCTTTAAATTTCATGTTAAAATGATCATATTTTAGACTTAAATGGAACTTGGGGCTACGAGTATTGAACCCGATGATTGCAATTGACAGGTCATAAATCGAAACTGAACTGAAGATTCAAGGCAATCACGTACTGAGCATGATGGTTCAAGTGTGGATTCCACTGCACTTCCCTAAATTTTGTAACTTAAAAGCCGTTACGGTAATTGACATCCATAAATTGGAACTTTATCGAACTTCAAGACTAACTTTTAGGCAATAACACGGTAAACGAGATGGTTTAAGTATGGATTCCATCGCACTTTATGGAAGACTAACTTGAAGGCAATCACACGGTAAACGAGATGGTTTAAGTATGGATTCCATCGCACTTCAATAATTTATGTAACTTAAAAGACGTAACTGGTGGACTTGCATAAATTGGAACTCAATCGAAGAGTTAACTTTAAGGCAATCACACGGCTTACCGTCTGATTGCATTAGAGCTAAGTATGGATTCCATCACACTTTGATAATTTATGTTACTTAAAAGACATTACCGGCATGTCATTGTCATTCATTGAAATTCGCTGACACTGGAAGGTGCACGTAATAAGACATTGAACGAGAAGGTTTTGAATGATATCAGAGTCTACATTAATTTTGACTAATTTTGAGTGGGGCGTATTTGACATGACATTGTGTCAAGCAGAAATTGGATGTCAACGGAATAGTTGATGCAATCACACGGCAAACGAGATGGCAAACGAGATGGTTTAAGTACTATTGATTCCGTCGGACTTCGGCAAATTACCATAAACTGAAATGACATTATCATGAACTTCAAATCAAGTGAGTACCATAAATTTCGTCGCACTTCAAGAAATATCGTAACAAGATTAAACTACGAATGTTGTGTCTAAATTAAATGCTACGAGCCGCCGCAATCTAAACTTTTGAAACGGTTTCTGCTATCATACATAAATGTAAAGCATCTACAAGCGTCCGCGAGCATCTACATAATTTCTGTATCTTCTTCAGAACCACGTAATCCACATGCGCAAGGGCGAATGGGATACGAATAATCATGTCTCATTTCTTTTGTCGCACAGCCTACACAATACGTGACATGCACACAAAAGCGAAAACGAAATGTCGGTAAAGTAGAAACATCAACACATGATGAAGTTAACTTCAGAACTTGCTTAACCACCACCCAACCATCCGAAAAACATCAACCCTAAATTGTGTACAAAATCTGCTAACTTGTCGTACAATAGACTCGTCGCAATTCACCAAGTCAAAAGAGAATATAGTCTGTTCCTAATTCCCATCCGAACAGTCATTCCCTTCCGCACATGGACTTAGATCTCGAAGTGGAGCTTCAGCGTTCAGTCGAACGTTGGAAGGAATGACAAGTCCAGTCATGAACGACTTTGTTCCTCTACCTGGCCTCTCCCAACCAAAAGCGATCGAGTCGGCATGTTGCCATTGTGTCTGGTCAGTCTTCTTCCATCTTTTTTCCCATGCGTTATCGTACAATTTTTTCGAGCGACTTTGCTCTCCCGGTTGACACCAAGTATTCCACGAGCACTTCATTACAATTTGGCAAATCCTTTTCACGAACCACCTGCGATTGTGCTCTTCCCACCCAAATAGGCACGCCTTTCGAAATATCGTCGTTGGAGGGGCGAAGGATAAGAAAAGTGTCGACGTTGATATGCTCGAGGGGGTCGAAACTGGTCTTCGGGCGATCTTTTCTACGTCCAACAAACARCGGTTCCYTGTCGTCGATGTTGGCATTACTRGGAAAAGATTGTTGATCRTTTTCGAGGGGACGAGGGTTTGGCCAAAAAMCTTCCYGAGGTTGTGTGRACAACCCGTTCGCGATGATCTCGTCGCCACGTTTGATAACCTCGTCCCAGTACCACAAAGCTCTTTCTCCTTGACTCACCTCATGTTCGTTGAAAGTGCACCATGTTGACCGCCTGCTCTCCAGCAACTCGCGGAATCGAATAACACCATGTTTGCCATTCAGATAGTGTTTCCGAGGAACAGGCTTCGTGGGAGGTGGGTCAAATGGCCACGAAAGACCTGCGTAGCTTCCATCGGGGTTCTGATTGAACCAATAAATCGGACCTTCCTCGGGCAGCCAGTTGTCGTCATCGCAAAACTCCTTGTACAACATGCCCGGTTTATCTCCAACCATCAAAAATTTAAGCAAGTGTGGTTGGGAAATACCGGTAATGTCTGATGCAACGCATGGGTCTACTATACTTATAAAATCTGCCAATGTGTCGAGGAAAATACATTTGGGAGGCTTTTTGTGGGATTGCTCTATGAGATCAAACAACTCGTCCATAGTATAAGCGTCTGTGTCTTTCAATTTCTTCGAGAAGACACTGAAAGTAGCATCAATGTCCGTATGGGTATGTCCCACCAGCATGAAACCTATTTTCACCTCTTGGAAAACTTTAAACTTCACCAACAGTGCAGCAAGTGCACATACGTACTTGTTCTTGTTTTCCCGCCAACAATTATCTGCTTGAATGCGCAAAAAGGGTGGTAGTGACCCCTCAGTCGCTTGAATTT